TGGGCTCAGGCAATCCACTCACCTCAGCCTCCCAAAGGTGCGGGATTACCGACTGAGCCACCAAGCCCGGCTGCAGTGAATTTTCATCAGTGCTTAGCCAGGGCTCAGGGTTCTGGGGGTGTGGCCCCTCCCCAGTCCCCCCGTTCCTGCACACTCACTGGCTGTCCGTTCTCCAGAAGCTCATACACGCTGTTGGTGTAACTCCGACCCTTGACACCGGCCCGGTCAGAGCTGCACTGGGGCAGCGTATGGAGGAAGCGAATGTTGGGATCGGCCACGCTCAGGTCGTCAGGCACCCCACAGTCCAATGGGAAGAGGATGTACAGCCGCTGGCTCCCTGCACCCCGCAGTATGTTGTTGTGGCGCTGGTTGTAACTTTGGATCCGGGCCTGGAGCCCTGGGGTAGGAAGCCCGAGAAACCACTGACCCTGTCTCGGAGCTGAGACCCAGGTCACTGCCCCCTCAGTGTGGTACAGGAGAATGGAGGGTCCAGCCCACTCTCTTTGTATTGCAGGCCAGGAGGGTTAGAGAACCAGAAGCCTCCCCACCCCTCCCCCTACTCTATGAAGCTCTCTCTCCCCTCACTTCTGCTTTCCCCAGATGTCTGTGTTAGCCCCGCCCTTTCCCGCCACTGACTTCCAGGGCTCTGAGGGGCAGGCAGAGCCCTGGGAGGTAGGTGACATTCCCAACATTTCCAGGTGCACAGAGCCAGGCCTCTAGCTCCAGACCTGTCACCCAGCAGAAGCCCTGGTATCCAGGGGAGACAGCAATGAGATATGGACGAGCCAGTTAACCTGCAAGTCAGAGGAATGAGACACATGGGCCCCACAATGGAGTTCAAGGGTCCAGGCTCTGGACAGACCTGGGTTCAAATCCTTTCTCCTCCTCTCAGAAAGTCATGTGACAGTGGACAAGTCACTTAAGCTCTCAAAACCACACATTTTTAATCTCTAAAATAGAAATGGGCTAGGTGTAGTGGCTCACGCCTCTAATTCTAGGTACTTTGAGAAGTGGAGGCAAGAGGATTGCCTGAGTCCATGGATTCGAGACCAGCCTGGGCAACTTGGTGAGTCCCTGTCACTACAATTAAAAAAAAAAATTAGGCTGAGGTGAGTGGATTGCCTGAGCCCGCGGGTTCGAGACCCACCTGGGCAACTTGGCGAGACCTCATCTCTACAATAAATCAAAAATTAGTCAGGCGTGGTAGCGTGCGCCTGTAGTTCCAGCTACTCGGAAGGCTGAGGCGGAAGGATCGCCGGAGCCCAGCGGGTCTAGGCTGCGGGGGCCGGGAGCGGCCGCTACACTCCAGTCTGGGCGACAGAGTGAGACTCCAACTCAAAAAAAAAAAGAAAATGCTTTGAAAAGTATAGCAAGTTCTGGAAACACAAGCGACTGTCTATTTTATTATCTGTCTCGTAGGTCTGGAAATGGAGACATAAAGGATGGCCCACCTGGTAGGATCAGTCGCAGATACCCAATGTAATATGACCATGCCAGCCCATGGGCCACGTTGAAGTTCCCTTTCTCACAGACTGTAGAGACCTCAGCTGGGGTCAGGTCCTGTGGGCAAGCAGGATGGGACGGGGTCCTCCATTAAACACTCAGAGCCCTCCTCCTCCGAGAAGGTTTCCCAGCCTGCTGCTGGCTTGTTCCCTTCTTTGCCATTGCTGAACCCACCGTACCAGGACGTTGTAGGCTCCACTCCCACCTTTAAATCTATCCCACTCCCAGTATGAGCTCAGAGCAGGTCACGTGAGCCACAGCCTCCACTTGAGCAGACTCTCCACCTCTCTCTGTGTCATACCTGCAGTTCCAGGAGGATAGTCAGTGCCTGCGAGAGGCCCAGGAGGGCAAGCACCCAAGTGAGGGGCAAGTCATCCGCGTTTGGGTAGGAGGAGTAGAAATAGCAGGACAGCAGCAGCAGGGCCACACAGCGGAAGGGGCAGCCCAGGCAGGCCCGCACAGCCCTCCAGTAGCTGTTCTGGTACCTGTGGGTGACAGCCAAGTCCCAGCCCCCAACCCAGCTCAGTTATAGAGGTTCAGGGAGGGGCAGGGCTAGGCCTCAGGGGGGTGACACATGTTGGGTGCCCCCATCATAGGCACTGCAGGAAGTCACCTGGAGTGGACGTGGCGCATCTCCTCAGCCAGGTTGCAGATTCCCTTTAACATCAGTCCCAGCTGCAGGTAGGCATGGTGGAACACCAGCCACTGGAGAATGTGGTCTGACAGCTCTCCCATTCCCCAAAGGGCCGCCAGGCAGGCAATCAGCAGGACAAAGGCTGCTTTTTTGGCCCCGTGACCCCTGGGACACGGGATGGACGGATGCAGGCTGGAGTGCGGCATCTGTGGACACCAAGATATCCATGGCCACGCTCCCCTCGTTGTCTTGCTCTTCTGGGATCGAAGCCCTGGCTGGGCTCCTCCCCTCAGCTCTCCCTTTCCCTGGTGCCCAGCCATCCCCAAAGGCTGCTCTTAGAGACTCCTCTAGGGGACAGGCTGGCAATAAATCATCCCAAAGCTCTAGTCCAGGAGTTTGCTGAAAACAGAGCCCGGCCTGCAGACACTCTCCCGACCAAGTCCCGGTGAGACCACAGATGTGGAGAAGAAAGAAGACAGCCCAGATGCAGATTGGAAAGTGTCCAGGGCAGCCCTACCCAACCAGGAACCCTTCGAGACCTGGGCTCCCCTATCCCCGGAATCCACCCCAGGGAGATAGCACAGTGGAGAACCAGAGCTCAGGGAGTACAGTCGGGTAGCCAGAGGCAGGGCACCCCCTCACCTCTGGGTCCCCAGGGGCCCTAAGCTTAGTGTTCCGGCTGGGCTGCTCCGGATCCTACCTTCTGCCTCCTGGATACAGGCTGTTCCGGAAGATGGCAAGGAGAGAAGTCTGGGAGCAACAGCTACCAGCAGCCAAGGGCAGCCTCTCTGAGAGCAGCCTGAAAATAAAATGTGCAAAACAATTGCTTTCTCCACACCTTCCTGTCCTGGCATCTCTCCAAACCTCAGCTTGAGGTGCACAGAGAGAAGGGTATTTCCTGCCCTTCGGGGAGGGAGGAAGCGCCCCCCCTCAAGGCACTGATGAGCCAGGCCTGAGTTGTGAGGTGGGGGCTAAGGGTTGAGAAAGCCCCCTTTCCACTTCCCTTTGCTATTCTCAAACCAAGGGTATTTAGAGACATACTCACCACAGTCGCAACCCTGAGCACCAGGGTCCCCTCAAGCCCCCAGGATCAGACACACTTTATCCAACACCCAAGCAGGAACCCCCCCATGCCACCAAAGGCAACACACTCACCACGAGAAGCTTTCCTGTCTGCTTATTTGTATTCTGATTTCCAGAGGCTGATCCTCTTTTTCTGAACACTGTGACCTCAGAAGGGAGGCGGGGAAAATGAGCAAAGTTGTTTCCTGTAACAACAGCCTTTCTAATAAGGGTGGGAGCAGAAGACAGACAGAGGAACGGAGTTTTGACTCTCAGGAAATGACTACGCCCTGGACTCCTTAGCGAGAGAGCCTGCTGGTTCCTGTAGCGAGGTGGTTGTGTAGATGATGATAATAATAAAGTGTTTGCCTCGTTCCAGACCCTGTGCCAGTGTTGTATGTATCATTTCCCTTCGTCTTCCCAGCCCTCCTGTCCGGTGGGTGTAATTCTATCCCCGTTTTACAGATGGGTAACCTGAGCCTCGGTGAGGGGCAGTGTAAGTGAGGGAGTGGGGACTTGAAGCCTAGTTGGTTGCTTCAAAACCCAGCTTGTTCTGTGCCTCGTTTTTCTGGGAGGGAGTGAGAGACACCAGGACCAAGTTTCATGTGTTGGGACTCAGAAAACCAGACCCCAAAACAAAGGCCTCAGAGGCAAAAACCTCCTGCCTTCTTTTTTTGAAGAAGTTGAGTTGGAGTCTCACTGTCGCCCAGACTGCAGTGCAGTGGCCGTTCCCGGCCACCGCAGCTTCAACCAAAGGCGCAGGATTACAGGCTGAGCCACCAAGCCTGGCTTTTTTTTTTTTTATTGTAGAGACGAGGTCTGGCCAAGTTGCCCAGGTGAGTCTCAAACCCGCAGGCTCAGGCAACCCACTCACCTCAGCCTCCCAAGGTGTGAGATTACAGGCTGAGCCACCAAGCCCAGCTTTTTTTAGTTTCTTACCTTCCTGTTTTTTAGTCCCAGTCGCCCCCAGGTCAGCCATAGAAACTAGAATCCCAGCCGAGTTCGGTGGCTCAGCCTGTAATCCCGTGCTTTGGGAGGCTAAAGTGAGTGTATTGCCTGAGCCCAAGGGTTCGAGACCCGCCTGGGCAACTTGGCGAGACTTCATCTCTACAATAAATCAAAAATGAGTCGGGCGTGGTAGTGCGCGCCTGTAGTTCCAGCTACTTGGAAGGCTGAGGCGGAAGGATCACCGGAGCCCAGCAGGTTGAGGCTGTGGTGGCCGGGAGCGGCCACTGCACTCCAGTCTGGGCGACAGCGTGAGACTCTAACTCAAAAAAAATTTTAAAAAAGAGAGTAAGATCCCTCTTTCCCAAGGTGTGTTGTAGAAACCAGAACCCTTTTTCCCCAAAGTCAGCCAGAAAACGGAAAAATAAAACTGTAACTTTCCACCACCTCTCAGTGTAAACACTGGCCATAAAGAAACAATCTAGCTGGGCGCGGTGGCTCATGCCTATAATCCCAGCACTTTGGGAGGCTGAGATGAGGGGATTGCCTGAGCCCATGGGTTCGAGACCAAGCTGGACAACATGGTGAGACCTCATTTCTACAATAAATAAAAAAATTAGCTGGGCATGGTAGTTCATGCCTGTAGTTCCAGCTGCTTAGAAAGGCTGAGACAGAAGGATCTCCTGAACCCAGCAAGTTACAGTGGTAACCATGCATGTCACTGCACTCCAGCCTGGGCGACAAAGAAAAACTCTGACTCAGGGAAAAAAAAAGAAAGAAAAAAAGAATCTGACCTTTTTGACTGTGTATCATAAGACTTCCCCCACCCACTTCCAGAGAGGGTCCTGTCCCACACCCAGAGGGAAAGAATGCTGTACAAAGAGGCCAGGACAGATCTGGAGGACAGATCTGGGCAGGACTTGCTGGGTTTCCCCAATCAGTACATCAGCGTTAGATCATACCCTTTTTTGTCTAATTGTGTTTCTACATGCCGTCCATACTTTGCTGAACCTAAGCATCAAAATAAACAATTTCCCCTGTACGTCAGGGGCTTCATTCCAAAGGCCCCCATGTCACGTAAAACTATGATTAAATAAATGTACATGCCTTTTCTCCTATTAATTCGCTCTTGCCAGTGATTTTCAGCAAAACTTCAGAGGACAGAGGGGACGTTTTCTTTTGGCCAGACGTCTCCAGCTGCTCCCTGGCAAGCTGGCATGTTGACTCAGGAGTGAGCCCGGGGTTGGTGAGGGTGGCACCCACAGAACAGCAGTTCACACACGTCTCGTGGTGTTATGGTCCGAGTAATGCTCGGCTGCTCCTGTTGATACCAATAAATCAAAGGAGCAGGGAACTGGTAAAAAGAAGTTTATTTCTGAGCCCGAATCCAGGGAGCAGAGCTGGACTCCAGGTCTTTCTAAAATGGTTCTGCTCGGCAACCCCCTTGGGTCCCCTCCCACTGTGTGAGCTTTTCTGTCCTCTCAATAAATTCTGCTTTCTCACTTAAAATAAATAAAACAAAATAAAATAATAAAATGGTTCTGTACACCCTCTATGCTTTTGCAGTTCACTTTTATGAGCCCAAAGTTGTCCATACCTATACATTAGCCACGTGACCAGCAGAGCATTGTATAGAACTTAAGTTACAGCTGCATTTTACTTTTTTTTTTTTTTTTGAGTTGGAGTCTTACTGTCACCCAGGTTGGAGTGCAGTGGCATGCTACTCATGGCCACCGCAGCTTCGACCTTCTGGGCTCAGGTAATCCTTCTGCCTCAGCCTTCTAAATAGCTGGAATTACAGGTAAGTGCCACTGTACCTGACAAATTTTTTGATTTATTATAGAGATGAGGTCTCACCAATTTGCCCGGGCTGGTCTCGAACCTGTAGACTCAGGCAATCCTCTCACCTCAGCCTCCCAAAGTGCTGGGATTATAGGCATGAGCCACCGTGCCCAGCCCACATTTTACTTTTAAATAGTGACATTTACAGTAAAGAAAGTTTAAAAGGCCTAAGACAACATGCATGGCAAAAGTTATGCAAATCACAAGATTTAGGATTACACTGATACTGTATAGTTCAAAGAAAGCTAGTAAATAGGATTTACATCTTTGGAAAGTCAAGGATCTCCTGAAGTTACTTACCAGGAGTGCGTAGAAGACAAGGGGACTCTCAGTAATATGCTCAGGAATGTGCAGGAGCACGGAATCCCCCCCATGCCCTTCTCTAGGGGCTATGGCAATACGAAGGGACATTAGTATCTGTATCGCTGTATCACTGGGCCCTTCCCCACCTCACCACCAGACACAAGAAGACACATTCATGGATGCCCCTGGTCTCACAGGAGCAAGGAGGCTTCCTGGAAGCTCCCTGGTTTCTGAAAATCGTTTCCCAAGCATGGAGGGAATTCCTTACATTTTCTTTCTCCTACAACTGGCCTGCATAAGGCTCTGGAAAGATATATGAGGGGGGATTTATTAAAAATCTGAAATTTGCCGGGCTCGGTGGCTCAGCCTGTAATGCTGCGCCTTTGGGAGGCTGAGATGAGTGGATTGCCTGAGCCCGCGGGTTTGAGATCCGCCTGGGCAGAGAGACCTCATCTCTACAATAAATCAAAAAAAATCAATGCCGGGCTCAGTGGCTCAGCCTGTAATCCCGCGCCTTTGGGAGGCTGAGGTGAGTGGATTACTGAGTCTGCGGGTTCGAGACCCGCCTGGGCAGCGAGACCTCATCTCTGCAATAAATCAAAAAATCAGCCGGGCATGGTAGCACATGCCTGTAATTCCAGTTACTCGGAAGGCTGAGGTGGAAGGATCACCGGAGCCCAGCAGGTCGAGACTGTGGTGGCCGGGAGCGGCCACTGCACTCCAGTCTGGGCGACAGTGAGACTCCAACTCAAAAAAACAAACAAAAACAAAACAAAACAAAAAAGCTAACTGAAGCCGAACGCAGCCTCTCACAACAACACTAGCTGGTACACTGATGTTGATGGGTTCCTAGAACACTTACCTAGCAGGGGAAGCCTGTACTACAAGGGACCCACTCTCCAAAAGATAATTCTGCTTTTTGGGGAATTTACACTTGTATGACAAAATACTAACAACAACTCTGTGCAGTAGGAATAGCAGTAATTTTTTTCTATTTTATTCCTTTTTGCTCACTATGGGTTTTCCAAGATTTCTTTTCCCTATACTGACTATATCTCCTTTGTTGAATGTTTAACTTGTGCTGTAAGGAGGGAAAATCCCAACGTTGCCTTGGTCTCAGGACCTCCTTCCACTCCTGCCTGTCCTCTCTCCCTCCCCTCTGCCCTACCTGCTGCTCTGGGCTCATTTCCCTGGCTTTGAACTTGCTCTAACGCAGGACTTGCAGGTGCAGAAGGCCCTGGGACCAGGTCACTCAGGAAGAGTAAGCTGTGGGCTGGCTCAGAGGAATGGAAATGTCAGGGCCAGGGTGGCAGGAAGGCCAGGGTGGCAGGAAGGCCAGCCTAAGCCTAGTGGCTCAGGAGCCAGTTCATGACCCAGCCTGGCCTGACTGGAAAGAAAGGTCCCGTGGGGTGAGTGAGGGAGTGCAGGCTACCAAGGGAGCAGAAGCCCCACTGTCTGGGCCTTCTAGTGCCAGGCTGGGCATTTTTGTACACCCTTTATCCACAAACACCATCACCGCTTGTACAGTGCTCTTGCTGAGGGTTAAGGAAGGCACTATCTCAGGATAGGACTACTGAGGCGGAAGGATCGCCAGAGCCCAGAAGGTCGAGGCTGCGGTGACCCTGAGCATGCCAGTGCCCTCCAGCCTGGGCGACAGAGTGAGACTCCAACTCAAAAAAAAAAAAAAAAAAGAAAAGAAAAAGAAAGGTGAGCTGAACCCAAGGTAGAGGCCAAGATGACAGGGGCTGGCAACTTCAAGAGTGTGATTGTCAGCCAGGCTCGGTGGCTCAGCCTGTAATCCTGTGCCTTTGGGAGGCTGAGGTGAGTGGATTGCCTGAGCCCACGGGTTCGAGACCCGCCTGGGCAGGCGAGACCTCATCTCTACAATAAAATTTTTAAAAAATTAGCCGGGCGTGGTAGCGCGCGCCTGTAATTCCGGCTACTCGGAAGACTGAGGCGGAAGGATCGCCAGAGCCCAGTGGGTCGAGGCTGCGGTGGCCAGGAGCAGCCACTGCAAGTCAGTCTGGGCAACAGAGTGAGACTCCAACTCAAAAAAAAAATTAATTAATTAAT